TGTAGTACTAGTTGTAGAACTAATTGTAGAACTAGTTGTAGTACTAGTTGTAGTACTAGTTGTAGTACTAGTTGTAGTACTAGTTGTGGTACTAGTTGTGGTACTAGTTGTAGTACTAGTTGTAGTACTAGTTGTGGTACTAGTTGTAGTACTAGTTGTAGAACTAATTGTAGAACTAGTTGTAGTACTAGTTGTAGTACTAGTTGTAGTACTAGTTGTAGTACTAGTTGTGGTACTATTTGTGGTACTAGTTGTAGTACTAGTTGTAGAACTAGTTGTAGTACTAGTTGTAGTACTAGTTGTAGAACTAGTTGTAGTACTAGTTGTAGAACTAATTGTAGAACTAGTTGTAGTACTAGTTGTAGTACTAGTTGTAGTACTAGTTGTAGAACTAGTTGTAGTACTAGTTGTAGAACTAATTGTAGAACTAGTTGTAGTACTAGTTGTAGTACTAGTTGTAGTACTAGTTGTAGAACTAGTTGTAGAACTAGTTGTAGTACTTGTAGCAGAAATAATAATAGTAATAGTGGTAGCAGCTCAATGGTACGTAACTAATAACATGTTTAAAAAAAATGAAATGTGTAAACAAATTCCTTAGTTGAAGACCTAATAGAAAAACATTTGTGTATGTTAAGGGGGCCGCTTGGTCTTTTTACCCAATTCCTGAATTATGGAGGTGTCAAAGTACATGTGCTCCCAGTTTTCGATGCCCCTGTGTGCCGGTTAGAGAAGGACAGGTAGATGTCATAAATACAAGAAGTCTGGCTGAACATACACTTTTCAGCTGTATTAAATGTCGTTCTGGCTCATAAGCAGAGCTCTCTTAACACATGGACCGACTGGGCACTTACCCCCGGGGCGCACGCACATAGAGTCCCATGCTAGTGTGAGTGTGTGTTTGTGAAGTGACTTTTCATAAATAGAAACATCATTCGTGTGAGTGTTTGTCGTAAGGACGCCAGAACAATAATGTTGAAGTAGCTATGTTGGTTAGCAGACCGTTTGGTAGACTGAGACATAACTGTTAGCTTCTGCAGATTGGCATTTGCGTCTTTTGAGTCTTAAATGGAGTTTGCTGGTATTACAAGCATTTGCGTTGACCCTCACCCTAGCTAGGTCCACAATGTCCGCTAACTCTTCCAGGACTTTATTGTGGTGCCATGTGTATCGTCCCTGGCTTAGGGCTTTTCAGACACGGGTGTCGGCTTAGGGCTTTTCAGACACGGGTGTCTGCTTGGCTCTGCATAGTGGACATGTCGGGTGGGTAGTCAAATGCCATTTTACCATGTTGATACCAGAGAGTAACACATTATACGCAGATCTTACAACAAAGCTCAACCGCAGAGGGCCATTCGCCAGATCTCTCGAGACCGATCCACTTACCTTGCAACACCTTTTGGTGTTCCTTATCTGCCGTATTACCTTGCCGACTTTAAACTTTTCGGTTACTGATTTGAACGGAAGTACTAAATTAGCCTACTTAAAATAAACAACCACATCAGTCAGACAAGGCGGTGCTCCAAGTCATTTCCTCATGGTTGTGTTTATTTTTTTTCTCCATCGTCTCCACAGCAGTCATGCTTACTTCGTACACGAGCAGTGGTCAGAGGAGCTTTGGAATCAACATGAACTGGAGACACCAAACCTTGAACTTATCGATCAGCTTGTATCGCTCGATAGCAAGCAGGCCAGTAGCCCGGGACTAATGTATTCGCCGGACCTTCGCCCTGTCAGATGACTTCGAATCCTAGACGCGGCTGAGGTTCTTCACCGGTCCCCATTTGGAAGGCTTTGCCCGTAGCCGGCAGCCCCGCCTAACATGACCTGCATATCCATTACGAACAGTATTGGCGAAATTGTACATGCCATTGTTATCCCAACCTGTGGTTTAGTCCACCTAGTAGTAAACGTGAGAGTAGAGAAGCGCATGGCGAACTTTGAGAAACATTGCTGGATAATTTCGGTGATTTGTGTCGGTTCGTGGAACATGCGAAGGGCCTGCCATAATAGTTTATGGGGTAGAGCCTCATTGGCGTTGGCGAGGTCTAATCATATCACATGCAAATCGGTTCTCTCTGCCTTAGCTTTCTGGACACTCTCCCAGATTATAGTTGCATGCTCAAGACACCCGGGGACGCCTGGGATGCAACCTTTCAAACCGTTGTATCAATATATTTGTTCTTTTCAAGAAGAGACAGATCTGAATTGTGGTAGATTAGAGAAGTTCGCTCCTTGGGAATGTAGACTCCGTTGGCTCGTTGCCACTCGGTACATATGTACATGCTAACTGTAGCAGACGGTGATTCATTCAGGACTTTTAGACAACGTTTGTACAGCGCGTACGGTACACCACTGGATCCTGTGGCAGACTTTCCGATACCTTCTTCTACCTCTGACCAAGAGGGAGGCATCTTTTTAAACTTTGCCTTTGGAAACACCAGCCGCTTCAGGCCTCTGGTGATCTACGGGTTGTCATGGAGAGGCTCATGTTTTGTCCGGTAGGAGTACATCTTCCTCTTTACCGACCATCAGAATCCCAGACTTTGGATGCCCAAACAGGCATTGGACAAACTGGAACGGGCCCTAAAGAATTTTTCTCGCTCCCTTTTAGTTCTCCATCTGTTTTTACAGACACTCTCAGCGCGACAGAGGGCACTGTGTCTGCTCTTGGAGTGTAGCCGCACCTCGTACAATCCCTCCGTTCGCTGCCTGTAGCGGTTTTGAACCGTTTTCTGAGTGTGTTCTTTTTTGTTCGGCACTTCTCAATGTTCGTCTGCCTCTTGCTTTTTTCGTGCGTGACGCCCAGCTGCGTCTTCTCGACTGTCCGGAACTCGCGGGCACAGTGATTGTAGTTTATGTCACCAAACCGTGTAAGATTGTCACCTAGCGACTTTTTCTCAAGTTCACCATTAATTTTCTAACAAAGTATACCCTCCAGCTTGCACCACGACTCCCTGTCGGTGCAGTTGGAAATTGATCTTCGTCCGCACTTTGTCGTATATCTCAAATATGCGGCTCCGTGATATACGTCTGGGTCTGTCTCGAAATCTAACTGGACAGCTACCGCCTGCCTCCGCTGGGAAGCCCCTAGTCCGTAATGGGATGTCTCTCCACGGTCTTTTGTCTAGCTGGGTGTTCAGGGTTTAGGGACAATCCGACATTAGGATCATAACCCGTGTACCTACATAAAGCCAAATGTTGCAAGCTGTAAAGAGGAGACGTCCGAGAGATAACCGGCCTCACTATACACCAGTGTCAACATAGTGGGCTAGGTGGCAGAGACTGCCACTCCCTCATTGGAATCTACAGTCATAGAAGACACGGTTCCCTAAATCAGCGGCACAGCCTCATGACCTCCTGGGACTGAAGGTTGCCTTCTATCTCCACGTCGGCTCTTCAGAGTTCACTTCACTATTCCAAACAGAGACAACAGCGGCGTGTGCCAGAGAGGTACTGGAAACTCACATCCGTGGAGAGGCACAATAAGTCATAATACCAGAGCATGGTTTTATTACAGTACACACAGGATGGCTATAATTATGGCTAGGCTAATCGTGTATCCCACGAGGGTTAAAGCATTCTTTGCAGGTCTCTAATGTGCATTGAGCATATGATGTACATTTACAGACCATTGGACATTCGACGAGTGGTGTTGTAACACTCACCTGTCGCCTTTCTCGTGACTATAGTTTATGTCTTGTACCGTTGGTAGTCATGTCTATCCACAACCTTCTGTCTCGTGTACTTTCAATCATATCTAACACAGATGATCTTTCATATCATGATGTCACGATGACGTAACTTTTCTTGTTTTCCTTAAAAAAATAGATAGCTCGCCAAGACCAGGCGATCCCACATGAAACCTGTCGCGACCCATGTGTTATGCACCCATAGAGCAGAGTTTTTTTTTTTTTTTTTTTACAGAACCTCGCTTCCATCATAGATGTTCAGAAATCATTTGGTTTATTACTAGCCCCCCCCCCCCCCCCCCAACATTTCCAACCCTGTGTATTTCTGTCCAAGGCCAGGGCGGTAATACAGTTATACATCGCCCGGGGAAAAGGGGGAGGGGGTAGCTCAGGTCTATTAAATGTTTACTGGAGCAAGGGGGGAGGAGGCCTCATGGGCCCTAAGTCAGAAGGTTCCATCGCCTCTGCAAGTCTCAAGTATCCCACGCCAACCTTCGCACTGGTCAACCCATGCCTCTTACTTGAGACACCCCTTTCGAGACTGCTTAGTCTTAGCACTGCTGGGTTTAATATATCCTAAGTATTTTAGTTCTGGATACAGACTACTACCGACGAGCCCTCCCCGTTCACACATTACAAAATGACTGCATCTTTCTTCTTCCTTGTCTCCTGTACTCGATCAGTCTGTCTGTAAGCTTTAGTAGCGATAAGCATTTGATTTTTTTTTCTTTCGGGTCGGTCTCTTAAATGCCCAGCCTGGTCGCCCGACTACCCAAAGGATATTACGTCGGTAATCCAGACTGAACAGGGAAACCGCCTGGCAGATTTTTTAAGATGGCTTTGCCGATTGGGTTTCTCCAGTGACTTGGTGATGACTGATCCCGGACCTCTTGGCCAGACCCAGTGCAGCAAGCTACACTTTGATCTTAGCCAAAAGGCCGAGAAGCGATAAACATCCGATGACACAAAATGCCACCATGTGGATGAGGATCAGCATAGAGAGGTCACATAAACTGGCTATATTGCGGCCCCTGGTAAGAGCCAGAGTAGGGCATCGAGTAACGAAAAATTGCATCTCACAAGGAGATAACTAGATTTTATATTGTTTAAGTTATGTCTATCTATCTCTATCTACTTTTACCCCACCAGGACATCACACAAGCGACATGACACAAGTGCCACCATGCGGCTGAGGATCACCACGGAGATGTCCCAGAAACCGCGTTCAGCCATAATACCATATTTATGAGCGGGCTATATTGCGGCCCCTGGCAAGAGCCAGAGTAGGGCTTCAAATAACAGGATTATTAATTACACTATGTAATATGGCCCCGGTGATATACAAGGAAGTATGTCAGGCAACCGATTTTGGCAATACATTGTATATGTTTGCTTTTTTAAATATTTAAAAAAAAAAAAAAAAAACTGTATAAAGTGTCTGTAATGAATGGAAAAATGAAATGAATGAATAAATGAATGAATGAATGAATGAATGAATGAATGAATGAATGAAAAATGAATCAATGAATGAAGGAAGGAATTATTAAATGATTGAATGATCTGACATCGGTGACCTCACCAGATATACCCAGTGTTAAACTAAACAGCTTCCTGACTACAGTCCATGTAGAAAAGAAAAGACTAACGCTATCGTGAGAACACATAACATAACAAAACCCTTGGCCAATTAGAGTCGATGGAAGCACTCACACAGAAAACCAACCATCTATCGCTGTCTCCCACTTGTTCAACAACTGTATGATAACTTAGTCCTATCCATTTCTTATTGTTGTCATTCGATGTCTTCTTTTCCCTCATCTTCTTTGACTACTCCTCCCCATCCTTTTCCCCTGCCCGCACCTTCACAATGTTTATTGAAGTAAAGTCTTTGCATTCGAATCAGAACATGGTATGAGAGACAAACATGAAAATGTGGTTATTTACAGCTGACGGTAGAAGAGAAACAACTAAACATGTGGCTATCTTCAGCTGACGGTAGAAGAGAAACAACTAAAAACATGTGGCTATCTTCAGCTGACGGTAGAAGAGAAACAACTAGACATGTAACTATCTTCAGCTGACGGTAGAAGAGAAACAACTAAACATGTGGCTATCTATAGCTCACGGTAGAAGAGAAACAACTAAACATGTAACTATCTTCAGCTGACGGTAGAAGAGAAACAACTAAACATGTAACTATCTTCAGCTCACGGTAGAAGAGAAACAACTAAACATGTGGCTATCTATAGCTCACGGTAGAAGAGAAACAACTAAACATGTGGCTATCTATAGCTCACGGTAGAAGAGAAACAACTAAACATGTGGCTATCTTTAGCTCACGGTAGAAGAGAAACAACTAAACATGTGGCTATCTATAGCTCACGGTAGAAGAGAAACAACTAAACATGTGGCTATCTATAGCTCACGGTAGAAGAGAAACAACTAAACATGTGGCTATCTATAGCTCACGGTAGAAGAGAAACAACTAAACATGTGGCTATCTATAGCTCATGGTAGAAGAAGAAAGATTAAATATCTAGCTATCTAAAGCTCAAAATAGAAGTAACATCTAGTAACTTAGATGGAAGATGAGAGTCTGCGATAGAAGAGGAAAGCTTAAACTAACTCAAAATACCGAGCCATACCATTGACCTTGAAGAGTAATTATATTAAACTTCAATATCTATACACTGCCGGGTAGAAGGTAAAAGAATGTTGGGGATAAATATATTGCACCGAACAAACACACAATGAAACAAATAGACAACACGTGTGCTTTTGTGGCATTTTTTCATTGTGAAATCTAAGCCGTGGCACTACGGTTAATCAAAATATGTCTCAGTATTCTATGGAGCAAGTAAAGAAAATTGTACAGTTCCATCCCATCTTCTGTGGCAGTCAGTCATTTCTTGGCGGTTAGAAACCAAAGCATGAAATTTTAACCATGTACTCAGTTGAAGTTGCCCAAGCAATGTCAAGGGGAGGTAAGCAAGTCTGCTCGTTATTTGGATTAATTGCCTTCTGTATGTACAAGATTCCTATGCAATTGTTACAGTTGACATCAATGGCTCGCAAAAGTTGGCTATTTCTTACCTTATCTGCACACAAACGGACTGATGTTCGTTCATCATTTGCTATTACCTTCTCCACTTGTATCACTGCCCACCTCTTACTTACCTAATTTCTTATTTGCCATCCTGTATTTTTTTCTATAAAAGTGTCTTGTCTTTCAATGGGTCATAGCATTTTCATTTGATCTCTTTTAATTTTTTTTATCATTTCTCTCTTCCTTCGAAAGATCTCTGTGTTGTTTCTGCTTCCATGTTATATGTTTGCATCTCCAGGCTCTCTACTCTACTTTCTGTCTGATTGTTTTGCTTACATGGAGGCAATTAGTTTCCCCTTTGACGACTTTGTATTCTACAGCCATCTATTTTCAGATCTTCTGCCTAGATTTATCATATTATTTATATCTCAAACCCTTTGATAAGTCAATGAACTTCCCTAGCAGTTCCCCTCTTGTCCATCCCAGCAAAGTGCAGGATTTAGTTCACATATTTATACGACGAATGTGTTATTTTTGTCTGCGATTCAATCAACACACTCAAGATTATTATTCACAAAGGTGTTTACTGAAACATTTATCACACAAATTCACATCTAATTGTTTACTAAAATATTTAGCAGAAACATAAACATTGCTTGTTTACATAAATATTTGGCACACACAGCAGCATCTATTTGTTTACTCAAATATTTAGCATACAAATAAACATCCGTTTGTTTACACCAATATTTATCACTCAATAAAATCTACTTATTTATTTACTCAACTTTTTGGCAGACACGTCAAGAAATGACTGGCCACAAATGCATGTTGTAAATACAGATTACAATATACGAAAACAATTAGGATTTGAAACACGTACTCGTACTTACAATACTTCAAATCAAAAGAGCTCCACACTAGATAAAGGGGCTACAACTCAATGAACAGTCACGTGCATGTTTGTTTGGTCTGATATCCTCCAGAAAGAGACAATGGTACAATCAAAGACAACACACATTTGCCAGTAAACCTGAGGTAAACGTCACAAAAAATGTGTTGACCTTTCTCCAAAACAAAATGAAAAAAATCCAACTAAAATATTTCTGAGGGTCAAAGGTCAGGAAAACCCAAAACAAGAAATAAATATAGAATAGTTATCATATTTTCAATATTGCAACATATGAATTGAACACTTTAGTATCTGCTTTAACTGTGGTCATTAGTAATATCTGGTATTGATATCCTTCAGGAAAATTATCATGGCACATTCTTGATCTTCACATATACAAAGTATTTACTTCCATATGTAATCTTCTGAAATAGCGCTACTGACAGCTTGGACAGTGATTAAGTCAGTTGCCTCAGCTGAACTGTTGAACAACTGGTGTGCAGCTACTAGGATGCTACAGTCTATGGAATTACTGGAGAGTTGAACAGGCACCATAAGTGCAGAAGATTTTAGAACAGGTCTACAATTTAGCAAAACACATATCAGTTACTGGTTTTTAAAAGCCACTATTTGTCCACAGAATTAGATGAAAGTAATCTTACACAGATCTAACATAGACTTGACATTGTAAATGCTTACATTGAGAGAAATAAATAGTATAAGTTCACAGTAGTGGGTGGGTCCGAAATGTCAAAGATGGGCCTTTAAATCTCCATGTATTTTTTGTTTAATAAGAAAACGAAGACATGATAGTGGCCACCTTGCTGTGGACATCAACTCTACAAGTGTCCAGCTGTGTTGACCAGTGCTTCCTGTACTCTATCACTGGCTGTGTCTGTGTTACGTTAGATCCATGGGTTCTAGATGATACTATGGCATTCAATCCTATCCGTGCAAAAGGCAACCAAACTCAAACCCTGAAATAAAAAGAGAGATGTTACTGAATTCTCAACTTCTCTTCATTAGTATGATCATCATATCATCATCACTATCACAGTATCTCCAGCGTTAACATCATCACTATCACAGTATCTCCAGCGTTAACATCATCACTACCACAGTATCTCCAGCTTTAACATCATCACTATCACAGTATCTCCAGCGTTAACATCATCACTATCACAGTATCTCCAGAGTTAACATCATCACTATCACAGTATCTCCAGAGTTAACATCATCACTATCACAGTATCTCCAGCGTTATCATCATCACCATCTTCACTAATCATCATCATCATCAACCCACCATCATCATCATAGCTTCACAAGTGTTGTCATTAACATCATTGTCATCATCCTTATCCTCTCTATCATCTTCTTCAACATCATCACCAAAATCATAGCTTCACAAGTGATATCATCATCATCATAATCAGCATTATCATCATCATTAACATCACCATCATCATCCTTAACAACACCATCATAGCTTCACAAGTTGAGTCCATAACATCATCATTATCATCATCATCATCGTCATCACCATCATATCAAAGCATACTAGACAGACTAAAGTTGAATATTGAATTAAGAATTGACATCACAGCACTTGGGACACCTCAATAAGTGCTTAGTCCCCCAGCAGCAAGCAAAGAGTTCCAGTTCCGATGTTACTAGTAACTGTATATCCGTTTCGCCCTTTCCTTGATTGTTGAGCGTGGACCAAACTGCCTATTTGACCAGATCTTCTCTACTGGATTATCTACTGTGTATTGTGTTTGATCATCATATTTCCACTATCTGACAAGTTTAACTACACGATATAAAAAAAAATATTAAAAAAAAACCCGCATCAATTGGTTGATACGTGTGTCAAAAGACTGATACAGGACAGTCCACCAAAGACAGCAATGTCACTTGGAAACAGTGGAAGCAACAAGAGTTTGGCCAGGTAAGTGATGGATAGAAGGAATACCTGAGACCAAGAATATCAACATTAAGGATCGCACCAGTAGCCCATTTTAAAACCTTATGCTGAAAGACAGAACAAAGATTAGAGGCCCAAAATAATTGATACATAAGAAAAACGAAAAGTTTTGATTGTAGATTCTTCCTTCTCTTGTTTTTTGCTTTTACTGATGCCATAACTTATCGCAGTTAGATGTAGTTTGTTGTCTTTTGCTGGCGGGATAACTTGTATTACAGTAAAACTGCGTTTCTGCAGTGTCTAATATACTCGCTCCACATATCTTTTTGATGGTGGGTTCGGGTCCCGGCGGACCCTTTTTTTTTAAATTGACCTTGGCTCCCAGGTCGACCCAGCCTTGACTGGGTACCAGGTGCAGTAAAGAGAAGTAAAGATGGCCGGCGTGATGCTGACCACAGAACCGACCATGTGCCAAGATTTGTCTATAAAATATAGGTCTAGCCCTATATGCCCAATACACCTGAGGGCATGGAAAAGGGTCCTTTACTTTCTACCTATCTGTTTTGCTCGGCCTTCTGCCCTGTAAGCTGTTGTTCTCATGTAGCGATAGACATACATTGACGGTTACTTGTTACATTCACATTAAAGACATGGTCTATAGGCGGCTGTTGTCGTGTAGCGATAAACAGACATTTTAGATTACTTGTTATATTCAGACTAAAGACAAAGCACAAAAGACTTGGTCAACATATGTTCAAACTTTTCGGTGTAGGAAACATGGAGACGTGTCCCTGCAGCCTGGCACCCGAAAATACTGAGCATATGCTCCAGCACTTACAACTGTATGCTGATAAAAGAGACAATCTGGCGTGTTCCAACCACAAGGAAGACAAAGCTGTATGGTACACGAGGGTATACGAGGGGATAGGAAGGGATACGAGGGGATACGAGCTGCACGATAAAGGCTACCAACCTCCTGATATAAGTTTTTTGACAGAAGGATTGAAGCTGAAGATGAAGAAGGTTACCTACCTCATAATCTAGGTCACCAGTTTACTCGTTTTCCTCTCGCTCCCCGCCAACTTCACTGGACGGCTTAGGGCTGAGTCCGTGTCTCTTGATCTCTGGGGGTGGGGGTTCCTTGGCTAGCTCCTCGAACAGAACCATTCTTTCTTTGTAAGAACGGTGGTCAGTGTGGCGCTCATACTTGCTGCACAACTGGATTTTCGGCTGTTGGGGGGAAAACAGAACAAACAATTAAAAACAAAAAACAAATAAAAGATAAATAAACAGCGTTTGTTTCTTGCTGGATGATCTAAATTTGGACACACTCCTGTTTCAGCAACTATAATCAGATCAACGAATATTTCAAACAGCTGTTATCTTACCCCATCAGATTTTAGTTGTTGCTTCAATTTCTTAAAAAATATAGGATTATTAATCAAAATAATTTGGAGTCAGATTATTTTTATCAACTAATAATTATGTCAATCACCCAACCTGTCCTTTAAAGAAAGTTAGTCTCTTTACAACATGCCTGAAATGATCTCTTTCTAGCCACTTTTACGTGGCAAACTACTGGACGTAAATTTGCCTAGAAAAACCGCACAACAGCCAGGGCTGTTGGGGTTAGTTCGGCAACGTCCTGTAAAGGATACGCAACTAACTAACCTGGCATCTTTTACAGCCCTGTGCGCTTTCATAGACAATGCATTTTCAATGTCCAGAATGAACATTCGGTCTCAGAAAATGCACGCCTACTTCCTCCCCCCCCCCCCCCCCCCCCCTTTTTCCAGCCACCATTCTCTTCAGACCATCATGCCACTTGACAAATAATTACCTAGAGCATAAATATTAACAGATTAAAAAAAAAGTAAAAATTAATAGTGATGTGTGTAGTTTTTGTAATTATATGGGCAGCTATACAGATGTCAGCTAATATTGAATACCTGTCCACACAAAATAGTCAACACTTAGTTGCAAATCTAAAAATGAACAGACGGAAGATCTACTTACTGGAGCGCTGGTAAACTTGTCCGCCAGACGATCAAATCTGCAAGATGAAGCATATCCTGGTTAACAAACGGTCTCAGATATTGATTTACTTATAGTGTTAGTTCATTCTTACATTCCTGGTTTAACTCTTCTGCTCCGATGACTACTTGCAGTTACTTCTGTCACATCTACTAATTTACAACGAGCCCTAGTCGTATCACCAGGAACTGCCATCGCCCAGTATTTAATTATGTTATCATGAAGCCACCCTAGCCGAAACTGTTGTTCCTATTGCTTTGCTTTTGGCATGCTGAAGGTATTTTTTTTTTTTTTTAAGTGGAAGACACATATGAAGGTAAATAACTATTTTTAAAATCCCATGAAAAAAACCCACAAAGTCGTCATCACAGCTCTAATTCACAACAGAATGAGTTTGCAGTTCAAATATGTTACTATGATTTACGAGAGATCTTAATCGGCACCGGGGTTGCCAGATTGTTGGACACTGACCCAAGTGAATTCAAAGTTTAAAAAACAATAGTTACCGGACTGAAACAACTACCACATGCAATACTTACGATTCATCTACTTGGACTGTAGATACTCCACGTTTGGCTTTTCCCTTGTTCAGCTGTCTGGAGCGCTCGGCCAGTTCAATCATCTGTGTCACAGAAGGCAACCAAGCATCAGATTAGAAACAGAGGCAGACTGTTAGGCGGATATCTTCCTCTACAGTAATTTATTCAGTGTATGGCAGTTGTAAACACCTGTTTAATTATTCCTGTCAATACAAATTACAGCCATGGGTCAAATTTTGTTTCCCTCCTTTATTTAGAGGTCCAAGAATACTCTTTGTGCAGGACAGTGGCCAGACCATGGTCAAAATCTGGACTAAGTGGCTAAACGACGGGAATCAAGAAGGCATAATATCCTTTAAAACAATAGGGAATATCCATCTCTTTATGCAGAGACTAGCACAACACGGAAGCAGCTATACAGATCTATTGCAGGTAATGAGAAACAGGACGCAGTGTAGCATATAGAAAGTGCTAGATTTAGGCATCAGCTATATAAGCTACATTTTGTTTAGGGCCTCACAATTTGCAGGGCCTCAACAAAGTAAATTTTGTGTTATCACAAATGCAATTTTTATTTAAAATTTTCAAATTGCAATTTCTTTCAACATAGCCTTTTTTAGAAGATTAAATTTTAGAATTTCTATGATTTTGCAAACACATTCTTAATTACTTTGTTTACTAAAAGTTTCAACGATAATATATTTCAGTTATCCATAGATTTAAAAGGTGTATACATGTTCCAGTTTTCTGAGACAAGCATGTGAAATTGAAAATAGTTGGGGCCTCAATGCTTTCAAAAGCTTAGGACGTCATGAAGTCTAAATACAGCCCCGCCTACATGTAGCCTGTTCAGCGCACACACAAAAATACTAGTGATCACTGACAGTTCTGAGTTTCTCTACATGAAGCCATCAACACAGACATAGAGAAACAATGTCCAAGAAACCAGATACAAATAAATCTGGGCCCACTGAAGAGGTCCCTGTTCACAATATATTCACGAAGAGACCAGTGCTTCAATAAATTAGCAGTAAGCAAAGGGAAGTAACTTTTAGGTTTCTCCTATCTCTCTCATTTTCTCTTTGTAATCTGAATTAAAATGATCAATGATACAGACAGATAATGAAGAATGTACTAGCATGATTGAGAAACAAGTTAAAAAATACATAAAATAGTTACGCAACATATTTTTTTTTTAACTTCTCAGTGAAACAGTTGAAGGCAGGTGAGCAAAAGGTAGATATCGAAACACACGGGATGATAAAATCAACAGTTTGTTAGAGTCTATTGTCATATATCTTATTTCGTCTTTTTCAGGACGAAATTTTTTGTTATTTGAAGCCCCACCCTGGCTTTTGCCAGGGGCCGCAATATAGGCAGGCCATAAATATGGCCAATTGTCTGAACGCGGTTTCTGGGACCTCTCCACGGCGATCCTCATCCACATGGTGGCACTTTTGAGTCATCGGGTGTTTATCGCTTGTGTGATGTCCTAGTGGGGTAAAAAGTCAGTCTGTCAGTCTATTGTCATAATGAGGGACAGAGAATGCTAGACATTTAACAGAGGCAAAGTTCATTGTCAAAATGGCATCTGACTGACTAACACATGTTGACTTTATAAAAGACTTTCAAACATTCTCTTTTATCAGGTTATTTAGAATAACAGTAAGAACATCTAGTGGTCTTTCTGAATGGTTCAAAGTCACAACTGGTGTCAGGCAAGGATGTGTACTGTCACCATTACTTTTCATAACATACATGGATAAGATCACTGTAGAAGCAAACCCAGACGTGTATGCTATAAACGAATTACTTTTTGCTGATGATCAAAGCATACTGTATCAAAATGAATATGATCTACAGGAACATCTGACTACTCTCAACAACAGCTGTTTACAACATAATATGAGAATCAGTACAGAAAAAACAGAAGTTATGAAGATCAGCAGAACACACAGGCCACTGAATATAAATGTTGGAAGTGCCAAAATCAAGCAAACCAAAGAGTTCAAATACTTGGGCAGTATATTTACAGAGGATGGAAGAATGGACAGAGAGATAGAAACAAGAATACAGAAAGCAAATGCTGTCACATACCAACTATCACCTCTGCTTAAACATCCAGATATAACCATGAAGACCAAAAGACAATTGATAAACACCATCTTCATTCCAACACTCTGCTACCAGTGCCAGACATGGACAATCAACAAGACCCATGAAAGAAAAATAGAAAGTCTGTGAAATGAAATGTCTAAGAAAAGCAGCGAATAAGACCAGACTAGACAGGATAAAGAATATAGACATTAGAAACACTGTCAAAACTACACCATGTTTAGACTACATAGAACATCAAAGAATGAAATGGTTTGGACATCTAACCAGGATGAAAAATGATCAAATAACATCACAAATTTTCAACCAAAGAAGCTCAGGATATAAGGCAAGAGGAAGACCAAGGAAACTGTGGATTGACGGGGTCTCCGAAACCTGCCAAAAGCATGGCCTCAGAACATCAGATGCTGCCCGCCTTGCTTATGACAGGAACTTGCATCTCCCCACAACGCTTAGCGGCATACGTGGAAGGAAAAAGTAAAAGTAAGTATTTAGAATAACACAGTGTTTATTAAACTGGGCTCTGCTGTACCTCTGAGACTGCCTGATCTGCATCCAGAAGTCGCCGGATGTTCATAACCAGCTATATGGCATCAACACATTGAATGGCCTTCAATGAAAGCATATTTAAAAAATGAGAGGCTCTATCTTATCCAAGTGAGATCTCTGCTAAATACATGCCTTAATGCTTAGTGTGTTGCACAAAGTCTTGTCAAAAAAAAAAAAAAAACCCAACCAACAGAAAAAGCCATAATTACCAGCAAAGACCCAGAGCGACTAGAGACACACAATAATATCATTTATGAACCGAATGAGGCAATCTGAAAATAACCTAAGGAAGGAGAGGCAAATGGCTTGACTTCATTTCACAAGAGAATCCAACAGGTGAATGAAAGCATACAATGGTTGGTCTGAGACTGGGGAATTTCTGCTACAGGCAGGTAAATAAAAGCTTGAAGACTCACGTCGTACTGTTGCCTTTTAAATCTCTGCTCCAGATCATACTTGTCTCCCTCCAGACGTCTGATGTGATCATTGAGCTCCCGGGCCTTCTCTGCCAGCTTCTCCACGCTCAGACCTGAAAGACACACAAGCACCCATCAAGATTTCATACAGTTAATATGTTGCAAGAACACCAACATGTATCAAGATTTTATACAGCTAATATGTTGCTAGAACACCAACATGTATCAAGATTTCATGCAGCTAATATGTTGTAAGAACACCAACTTGTATCAAGATTTCATACAGCTAATATGTTGCAAGCTCACCAACATCCATCAAGATTTCACAGCCAACAAGTTGCAAGCACAGCAATATTCATCAAAATTTGACAGCCAACATGTTGCAAGCACATCAACATCAAGTGTGCAACCCTGATGAAGTGTGCAATATTATTTCAAGCAACAGACAGTGTCAGGGAAGGACTAATTATAACCAATACTGTGAGTATGGCAGTTAAGGAACTGATTTGTAGAATTCACGCATGAGAAGAAAGCATCTCTGTCTCCTCATTCCCTTCCTCATCAATGCTACAAGCAGAAGTTTTAGTACCACACATGATAACAAGATATCTATCTACACAATCACAGGGTAGTCGATGAAAGGCTAAACATTTGTTTGTGATTTCTGCTAGAAGATATCCGTGTGTGATATCGGTGTAGCTAATAGCAAAAAGCTGAATAAGCAGGAAGGATTACCTTCAGTCACAAGGGGTTGAATGCGCTGGGCAAGAATGGCCCGCTTCTCTTCCTCCAGTTGTTCCTTTGACTTTTGCAGCTCTTCTTTGGTCATGACAGCGTCCAGCTATTGAACACACGAAACAATGAGTATCGCATGCTACTGATGAACTTACACAGGCAGCATGTATCACTTTTTAAAAATTAAAAATTAAGTAATTATTATTATGTCACAAACTGAATAATTTCAATAACATGGTGACCTATATGTGCAGTTAAAGTAATTGTTAAGTAAAAGCGTGAAAGTTCGAGGTATGCGTTCACTGAATTTATTCTGTTTTGTACAGATTATGATCACAAGATTACAATTAATAATAAACTGATGAACTCAATAAATACATATTAATAGATGTTGTGTTAGTTCTGTTTAAAGTTAAGAAGTTAGCTAGTCTAAGTCTTATAAATAAAGTTCACAGATGAAATGAGAAATAAACCAGAAATCTCTTCAAACAAACAGTTTAATTAAAATTACAACCAGAGCAATGAGAAAGATAGAGGACTCCAAATCAAAGAATATACAGCTAAAACAATAGAAAGGAATCCCCTGAACTCATTTCTGGTCACTCACTTGACACATTTAAAAAGTGAGACAATCAATACATGGCACTTTCATGAAAACAATTATCTGTAGCAGAAGAAAAAAATTAACTTGTTAGAAAATTGGTAAATGAAACAACTCTGGAGGACAGAAAAGAACAAGGAAGAACTGATAAAAAGAATGGCTTTCATGGATTGATCACATCCTGAACAAAAAGAGGACATTGTTACCTGAGAAGTGGACGGCAAACAATTGGGAAACAGGCAAGAGAGGGACAAGAAATATACTTATATAAAAAGCATTGGCAGATCTTTCAATGAAAACAGGTGAGAAATGAAAGAGTGCTGTCTGAGGAATGCAACAATGAGATGCTTACATCCAGAAGTCTAATGCTTAGCCCAAGTGTGAAAATGGTGACGATGATGATGGTGAGGATGATGATGATGATGATGATAATGATATGATGCTAATGATAACAACTTTGATATAAAACAAACATTACCCCTCCTGGCTTGTCCTGAAAAAAGGGAGAATGAGATAACAATAGTATGTTAGTTATTGTATTTCAAAATTTTAGATTAAAATTACAACGTTTCGTTACTACCCATAATTTACAATTAGTTCTGGGACTTGCGCCGCCATAATCATCAAGTGCCTTGCTGACTGGCGTAGGCCATCATGCCTCTCCACATTCTGAGATCTTCAACAGCATGTAACAGTTCGTGTGCTGACATCCCTCCATGACACGACAGTTCGTCTGCTGACATCCCTCCATGACACGACAGTTCGTCTGCTGACATCCCTCAATGACACGACAGTTCGTGTGCTGACATCCCTCCATGACACGACAGTTCGTCTGCTGACATCCCTCCATGACACGACAGTTCGTCTGCTGACATCCCTCCATGACACGACAGTTCGTCTGCTGACATCCCTCCATGACACGACAGTTCGTCTGCTGACATCCCTCCATGACACGACAGTTCGTCTGCTGACATCATTCCATGACACGACAGTTCGTCTGCTGACATCCCTCCATGACACGACAGTTCGTCTGCTGACATCATTCCATGACACGACAGTCCGTCTGCTGACATCCCTCCATGACACGACAAAATGTTGTCAAGAATGCACTCCCGTTATCTTCCTCTGTCTCTTTTGTCACAGATATTTCCGGTGGTCACAATATTTTCCAGTTTCCTTCTCCTCATAACTTGACCAACAAATAATGACTGTCTCATGTTTATGGTAAATTGTCTTGCAGTTGCCACCTCGTTCAAAACATCTGGGTAGCTCTTTTTGGCTTTCAAGCAATTCTAAAGATGTTTCTGTAAAACCACACCATTAAGGCCACAAGATATTGTTTGGCTTGTTTTTTAATTTACAGAATTCACAGCCGTGTATTAATACTGGCTGTACATAGCACATAAGAATTCTTTTCTAACTTTCAATCTTCTTCTTCTTCTTCGATCCTTCTGTCAGAAAACTTAAATCAGGAGGCCGGTAGCCTTTATGAAAGCTATCGTGCAATCCATATCCTCTTGTGTACCATACAGTTTTGTCTTCAGTGTGGTTGGAACAGGCCAGATTGCGTCTCTGTTGTCAGCATACAGTTGACAGTGTTGGAGCACATGCTCAGCATTTTCGGGTGCCACGCTGCAGGGACACGTCTCCGTATTTCCTACACCGAAAAATGTGAACATATGTTGACGAAATCTGTTGTGCCCTGTCCTTAGTCTGAATATAATAGACTGTCCCTCTCTAGAGAGGCGATGAAGTGAGTCTTGGGGAGAAAATCTGGTGTGGGTATCCAGCCACCTTTCTTGGATACTAGATTGTATTAGTGTTTTCATGTCTTGGTGGCTTAAGTCGCTATTTGGTTGTACCATGTCACTGCCGCTTCTGGCCAATCTGTCCGCTATTTCATTGCCTGTTCTGTTCTTTATGTCTTACAAAGAAAAGCTAGAATCGTCTCTGAGTCACACAGAGAAGCCAGTGAGTAACTATGACGGAAGGTAAACGTTATAGGACACAAAGTCAGCTATAAGCACTTTTGTAGGCATATTTTTTATAGAGTATGCAAAAAGCAGTAGCAGCACTGATGTTGGAAGGAGAGAAGAAGAAGAACAATAACATCATTAACATCATTAACAATAACCACATAAACCACCAGCACAACAATAACAGCAACAACAATGTCAACAATAACAACAACAATGACAATAACAGCAGCAACAAAAACAAAAAGCAACAGCCACAACCATAACAATAAGTAAACTACAAGAGCGATAGAATTTAACATTGAATTACCTCGCTCGATTCACTCTTCTTGGAAATCTTAAAGTTTCGGCCCTTGGGCTTGAGTCTTTCCTCTGCTTCCTTTTTCTTTCTTTCTCTTTCTTCCTTGAGTCTTATTTCTTCCTCTGCCTTCTTTCTTCTTCTCTCCTCCTGTTGCAATAAATTATGTAGATAGTAATTAAACAATTATTGTGTTACATCGCTCCTTAATTAAAAGGTAAAGGTTAAGTCGGGAAATGTGAACCAGCGTCACTGCACACAGTTATAAACCAGAAGTGCTCTGCCACCAGTACGGACAGCTGATAAGAATTGTCCGACTGTGTCGCCGTCCGCACGTACCTCTGTAACTACAGCGACGTTCCTCTATTTGCCCCAGAGTGTCAATTCTGGTACCCATTTCCTAAAGGTTGGGTGAACCCCGAGAGCCGGCCGGTTTTGAACACCGACCGTGGGCTGCAGCGAGTCGCAGATGGATTTAAAAACGAGCCTCTTATCGACTGCCTAACGCATCCCCCTGTATATGAAACCGAAGTGTAGATAAGCCTTCTGAAGCAATATTGAGGTTAGAATAGGAAAAGTCAGATCTGTCTTACAAAATATATTTACATATGAGAAGGGCTCCATACAGAGCGACATCATTGATAGATACTGTCCTTGAGATCTTTCCTCTGGGTAAGCAGGTATACTGGGAAAACAAGAGGCGGACAAAGTGGCTGGTTCTGCTACACTGGATGTAAATTTAATGCATGATACTTTGAATATGCCAGGACTCTTGAGAAGCAAACATGCAGTGAGAAAGCGTATACATCAATAGAGTGTGGAGACTCTACCCTAGGAACTCTCTCCAGTAGGCGATATAGACTCTAGCCAAGGAACTCTCTCCAGTAGGCGATATAGACTCTAGCCAAGGAACTCTCTCCAGTAGGCGATATAGACTCTAGCCAAGGAACTCTCTCCAGTAGGCGATATAGACTCTAGCCAAGGAACTCCCTCCAGTAGGCGATATAGACTCTAGCCAAGGAACTCTCTCCAGTAGGCGATATAGACTAGCCAAGGAAAGCCAAGACGATGCATAATCAGACTGATGCTGGTACCATCGGCATTGGAACTTTTTACTGGCTGCTGAAGATGAGGACTGAGCAATGTGAGCAGTGCTGTTATATCGTTTCTTAGCTCAAAAAAGTCAACAGATTTATCAGTTTTTTTTTTTGGGGGGGGGAGGGGGGGGGGGGGGTATTTTCCCCCAAATTCTTTATAAAACCGGACTGAGACACACTTCGTTTGGTTATTTTAGTTACACCTAAAAATGATTATTATCATGACATGTTTGCAATGTGGCGTAAGTCTTTGGGTGTTGTCTGGGATCGATTCTGTTGATGGCATCTCAATCGGTTTTATTTTTCTCGTCCTGCTTCTTTATATAGCCAATCATCCAGCCTTAATGATGCTCTCTAACAAGCTCTTACTTAATTACTTAATTGCGTATGCTTTACAGGACGTTGCAGAACCAACCCAATCATTTTTTGGCTGTCGTGGTTTTTCTAGGAGGCACGTTTACGTCCAGTAGTTTGCCATTGCTTTCTGAACGGTCAGCTTCTAGATAACATTGTCAAAACCAACTCAAGGCGCAAAACCAGCAGCTGGGATCGAACCCGGCACCCCCGCATTACGAAACTCGTTCGCAACGTCTAAGCCACAGATGCCGACAAACTCTACTCATTCATAATTTGTGTGTGAATGAAAAATGTCATTACATGACCGGAATATAGTCTGTCCCGTTCTTATAGCTGTATATTTGTTGTAGTTTTATTAACATCCTCTAGTAATCAATAGTTAGTTTGGAGAGAGATAGAGGGAGACAGAGAGATAGAGATAGAGAGAGAAAGAGAGAGAGAGAGAGAGAGAGAGAGAGAGAGAGAGAGAGAGAGAGAGAGAGCGGTAATACTATTTACCTCTTCAGCTTTTCTCCTAATCTCTTCTTGGGCTCGAACCGTGACCAACCGTTTCTCCTCTTCAACACGCTCCTTCTGGCGTTGAATCTGCAGCAAACATGTAAACATTACATCATTACTTTATGTCTACTGGCCAATAAAACATTTCTAATATTTTTTTAAAATGGTACGTGATACGGACATAGATGATTAAGACAACATTTTGTTTACAGATGAATTTAGTCAAATAATGGGTATCCTAAACCTACTATAATGATTCAGTAAACTGGACTATGAACAAGTAATTATGGAGGTCACAATATGTCCACTTAGATATTGTCATGCAAAAGACTACGGAGTATTTAAAGGAAACGAGAGGTTTTAAAAGAGGCGGGAGCCAGAAGACAACTTATCACAGACATCAGAAGGAGACAGTTATCATATTTCGGCCATGTTATGAGAAGAGGCGAAATGGAACATGTAGTGAAAACTGAAAAGATCTGTGGAAGGAGGGATAGAGAAAGACAACGAGAGAAGATGCTTGACAGTCTTGTTGCATGGCATAGAGGTGTGTCGGCACACGAACTGATACATGCTGCATGAGATCGTGGATTATGGAGAAGCATGATCGCCCACGCCAGTCGGCAAGGCACCTGATGATGATGATGATGAAGAATGAATTGAAGCGCAATTGTGTGTGTGCGTGTGTGTGCGTGTGCGTGCGTGCGTGCGTGTGTGTGTGTTTGTGTGTTTGTGTGTGTGCGTGTGTGTGTGCGTGTGAAGAGATTAAATGTGTCAGAGTAGGAAGAAAATGTCTTGTTAGAAAGACAGATAGGCAGACAACATCCAGTGAGGGGCAAAGAAATGTAAACAAGTCTACAAACTGAACACAGACTAGTAATTAGTTAATAGGTAGGCAGACAATCCTGCATGCAAGGAGGAAAAGACAGAGACAGACAAAACAAGACTTATGTACATAATCAGACTTACTCTTTTCTCCTTGAGCTCACGAATTTCCTGTTCCTCTTTCTCCCTCTCCAATTTCCTCATCTCCTCGTACTCAGCCAAATCAGCTGTCTGCTTCTCCAGACGTGCCCGATGCGCCTCCTGTACACAAACAAGCATATATATGCTGATGAAAGCTTTCTAGCTTTAACGTTAACGTATTGTTTGTGTTTGTGATAATCTGAAGCCTATTGGTACCACTTATCTTCCGTGTTTGTGATAATCTGAAGCCTATTGGTTCCACTTATCGTTCGTGTTTGTGTTAATCTGAAGCCTATTGGTTCCACTTAACGTTCATGTTAGTGATCATCTCAAGCCTATTGGTTCCACTTATCGTTCATGTTAGTGATAATCTCAAGCCTATTGGTTCCACATATCCTTCGTGTTTGTGATAATCTGAAGTCCATTGGTTTCACTTACCTTCATGTTTGTGATAATCTGAAGCCTATTGGTTCCACTTATCATTCATTTTGGTGATAATCTGAAGCCTATTGGTTCCACTTATCGTTCATGTTTGTAATAATCTGAAGCCTATTGGTTCCACTTATCGTTCATGTTTGTGATAATCTGAAGCCTATTGGTTCCACTTATCCTTCTCGTTTGTGATAATCTAAAGCCTATTGGTTCCACTTATCCTTCTCGTTTGTGATAATCTGAAGCCTATTGGTTCCACTTATCGTTCACGTTTGAGATAATCTGAAGCCTATTGGTTCCACTTATCGTTCGTGTTTGTGATAATGTGAAGCTGACTGGTTCCACTTATCGTTTGTGTTTTTTGGGGGTCTTCGTGGCCAAGTGGCAAGTCGTTTGCCTCGCGCTCTGAAATTCGTGGGTTTGTTTCACGACGGTGACAATTTTTACGAAGATCCCTAGGGGTCATCGCCGGAGCTATGGAATTCGCGCTCTATGCGGCACTCTCAGCAGGCGGCTAGCTGTTCTGCGGAGAGAGACCGAGCCATATGGGATAAAACCTGGTGCAAGGAAGTCGATCCTCTCGACTTTTACCTTTAATCGTTGAAAGCTGATTGGTTTCACTTCTCGTTTGTGTTTGTGATAATGTGAAGCTGCCTGGTTCCACTTCTTGTGCCGTTCCCTTTTAAGTTAATTCTAGAAGCTCTAACTCCTTGGCAGGTTATGGTTGGTTGTCCAACATATAGTTCATCATGTTAACATATCTCTGTCTCACAGGGTTACATATAGCATCTCCTCCTTCTTTTTTTAAGTGCTCACCTGCTGTAAACTCGGGGAGTCTTGGTTGTTCGTCCACCTCTGAACTGTGGTCTTGTTCCAGAACTTGACTGATACTAGCTAAACTATTTTTACAGGTATGACATAAATGCAGATTGTTGTTTCCTTTGCCTCTTGGGTAGACACTCTCCGACTTCGATGGGTAGATACTCTCCGACTTCGATGGGTAGATACTCTCCGACTTCGATGGGTAGATACTCTCCGACTTCGATGGGTAGATACTCTCCGACTTCGATGGGTAGATACTCTCCGACTTCGATGGGTAGATACTCTCCGACTTCGATGGGTAGATGCTCTCCGACTTCGATGGGTAGATGCTCTCCGACTTCGATAGGTAGATGCTCTCCGACTTCGATGGGTAGATACTCTCCGACTTCGATGGGTAGATACTCTCCGACTTCGATAGGAAAAAAAAACACCACGGATCGCCGAAAAGCAACTGAGTCAAATGAGAATTTTGTCGGCTCGTAAACTGGCACGTTAATGATGTAATTTGTATCTGCTGTCCACCACACTACTGGTAACACCCTGCCTCTTCTCCCAGGACCAGGACCTTCCATTGCTGCTATCTACAAACGATTATGTCGACTGACATGGCCGAAGTATTTTTTCAAGAACCTAACACCCTCGACAGTTAGATCGTTACAAATGTCAGTATTGTTTCCTTTTGTTGGATCCAGAAACTGACAAAATCCTCCTGTAACATTTCAACTCAAAAGCATAGACTGTCTTCTCTAAGGACTGACAAGAAGATATTTATGGAGCATTAATTCTGTGACTTTTCCAGTAATATGGTTTTTAAAGTGCAAGGGAACCAGCCACTCACCTCCATCGCTTTCTTGGCCTCATTGCTGTCCGTTCTGTAGACAGAAAATACCAGAAATAATCTGCAGGTAATTCGACTACATAATTTGATATTGTAAAAAAGACAAACCAGTATGACGTGTGCACACATTAGACAAACAAATACACACTAAATTTGAATGATCAACCCCTCCCCGCCCGCGGCCGTAAAAAAATCGTTTATTTAAGAGATTATTTTTGTGTAAAGATCTTCCTGTGTCGATGCAACTGCCAGTTATGTTCACATTAAAAAAAAAGTCTTAGTATTTTTTTTTTTCAAAGCTACATTACAGATTAGGCGCCATGGGCAACCTACAGCAAGCCTGCTAGGTGTGGTACGCCCAACTATTTTTAATAGCCCGCTGCTAGATTGAATTATATTACACAAAATTAATATAAAAAACAAAACACATTAATACAGTTATCAACAACTAGGTCCCTACACTCCCCTCCCGCTCACCCCCCCCCCCCCCCCCTTTCGAAAAAAAAAATCCTGCGTAATATAGGATCACATTATTGTGATTCAGTAATTGATATGCATGAAAGACATGATATACATTAGGAACTCAATCTGGGAAATAGGTCTGTGATATGGAGCTAGGAAACAGGCATGGGATATAGGTTCTGGAAGTATATCTTGAAAATAGGGCTGGGATAGAGGTATGGGAAATAGTTCTAGGAAATAAGTCTGAGTGAGAAACAACTCTGGGATAGAGGTATAGGAAATAAGTCTGGGAAATAAGTCTGGGAAATAAGTCTGGGAAATACGTCTAGGATAGAGGTATGGAAAAAAAGGTATAAGAAATGAGTCTGGGAAATAGGTCTGGGGTAGAGGAATGGGAAATAGGTCTAGGAAATAAGTCTGGGAAACAGCTCAGTGGTAGAGGTATGGGGAATAGGTCTAGGAAATAAGTCTGGGAAACAGCTCAGTGGTAGAGGTATGGGAAATAGGTCTGGGAAACAGCTCAGTGGTAGAGGTATAGGAAATAGGTCTGGGAAACAGCTCAGTGGTAGAGGTATGGGAAATAGGTCTGGGAAACAGCTCAGTGGTAGAGGTATGGGAAATAGGTCTGGGAAACAGCTCAGTGGTAGAGGTATGGGAAATAGGTCTGGGAAAATGGGTGAAGAGCTAAGTGCTTACATACACGGGGCTGGAGGGAAAAGGGGGGGGGGGGCGCCGAGGAAAGTAGGAGTGATAGATCTTAATTCATTATGAGTCCTGATGTATGGTGAGATTTGAATTAATATGGAACTTATTCATAACCAACGTTTCGCTCAAGTTTTTCGAATTTATTGACTCTCGTGTGAGATTTAAACAAAATAAAAAAGCCAACTTAAACAAAATATAAATGACACATTCACATAGACGTCATTGCAGTGGTAAACTACATGTAAAGAAAGTAATCTGTTAAAAATAAGTTTCACAAGAATACAGTTTGTTAGACACAAAAGTGAATATGTGAAATGACATGTGAGATGTCACTGACAAAAAACTGGGGGGGGGGGGGGGGGGGGGGGGGGGGGGGGGGGGGCCGGGGGGGGGGGGGGGCGATCTTATACTATTTTCTTATCAACTAAAATAAGCACGGGAGCTTGTATTCGGTTGATTGAATAAAGTTCAACTCCATTAGGACGACACAATAAACACCCGGTGATACAAAGTGCCCTTATTCAGATGAGAATCACCCGGGCGCAAGTTCCAGGAACCCTGTTCCTTTAGCACATGAGGCGGGCACCAACCTCGAGACCCCGCGACCCCCTTTTATCGTTAGGTAATATATCGTATTACTTTCCAGAGACCGTTAACGAAATTCTAGCACTGATTTAAACAGTCATCATAAGGGACTCGATGGGAGGTTTCAGAAACCCTGTTCAAAACATAGGTAGGGTTATATTAGGACCCCAGTAACAGCCAGGATTGGTGTTTAAAACAACTGCAAAATGGACACTGGGTCGTAGGAGTGGAAATACGTGCTCTCAGTTAGCTATAATTCAATGTTACGTCGAGAAACACTATGGTACGTAATCCATTGTTTGTGTACATCCACAGACTGACTGACTTTCTACCCCAACATGACATCAGACAAGCGATAAACACCCGATAACACACAGTGCAACTATGGAGAGGTCCCAGAAACCGCGTTCAGCCATAAGGCCATATTTATGGCCGGGCTATATTGCGGCCCCTAGCAAGAGCCAGAGTAGGGCTTCAAATAGCGAAAATTTTTTATCCTGAAAGGTACGAGAAATATAGTTCTATTAGACATCCACACAAAAATTATGTGTAATATTTGTTACCGTTTTAAATTATGGTTAGGGTTGGGGTTGGTGATGAGATTAACCGTAACGCTAACATTAAGCTAAATCCTAACTCTAACTGTAACCACTAGCCGTATTAAACATTACAGAACACTCGTACGTGATCTATAGATTGTGTCCCATAGGTCGTCAAACAATGTACCGTGTCCCATAGGTCGTCAAACAATGTACCGTGTCCCATACAGTCGACATAAGCAAACAATGGATTGTGTCCCAAAGGTCGTCAAACAATGTACCGTGTCCCATACAGTCGACATAAGCAAACAATGTATTGTGTCCCATACAGTCGACATAAGCAAACAATGTACCATGTCCCATACAGTCGACATAAGCAAACAATGGATTGTGTCCCAAAGGTCGTCAAACAATGTACCGTGTCCCATACAGTCGACATAAGCAAACAATGGATTGTGTCCCATACAGTCGACATAAGCAAACAATGGATTGTGTCCCATACAGTCGACATAAGCAAACAATGGATTGTGTCCCATACAGTCGACATAAGCAAACAATGGATTGTGTCCCATAGGTCGTCAAACAATGTACCGTGTCCCATACAGTCGACATAAGCAAACAATGGATTGTGTCCCATACAGTCGACATAAGCAAACAATGGATTGTGTCCCAAAGGTCGTCAAACAATGTACCGTGTCCCATACAGTCGACATAAGCAAACAATGGATTGTGTCCCATACAGTCGACATAAGCAAACAATGTACCGTGTCCCATACAGTCGACATAAGCAAACAATGGATTGTGTCCCAAAGGTCGTCAAACAATGTACCGTGTCCCATACAGTCGACATAAGCAAACAATGGATTGTGTCCCATACAGTCGACATAAGCAAACAATGTACCGTGTCCCATACAGTCGACATAAGCAAACAATGGATTGTGTCCCAAAGGTCGACAAACAATGTACCGTGTCCCATACAGTCGACATAAGCAAACAATGGATTGTGTCCCAAAGGTCGTCAAACAATGTACCGTGTCCCATACAGTCGACATAAGCAAACAATGGATTGTGTCCCATACAGTCGACATAAGCAAACAATGTACCGTGTCCCATACAGTCGACATAAGCAAACAATGGATTGTGTCCCATACAGTCGACATAAGCAAACAATGGATTGTGTCCCATACAGTCGACATAAGCAAACAATAGATTGTGTCCCATACAGTCGACATAAGCAAACAATGGATTGTGTCCCATACAGTCGACATAAGCAAACAATAGATTGTGTCCCATACAGTCGACATAAGCAAACAATGGATTGTGTCCCATACAGTCGACATAAGCAAACAATGTACCGTGTCCCATACAGTCGACATAAGCAAACAATGGATTGTGTCCCAAAGGTCGTCAAACAATGTACCGTGTCCCATACAGTCGACATAAGCAAACAATGGATTGTGTCCCATACAGTCGACATAAGCAAACAATGTACCGTGTCCCATACAGTCGACATAAGCAAACAATGGATTGTGTCCCATACAGTCGACATAAGCAAACAATGGATTGTGTCCCATACAGTCGACATAAGCAAACAATAGATTGTGTCCCATACAGTCGACATAAGCAAACAATGGATTGTGTCCCATACAGTCGACATAAGCAAACAATGGATTGTGTCCCATACAGTCGACATAAGCAAACAATGTACCGTGTCCCATACAGTCGACATAAGCAAACAATGTACCGTGTCCCATACAGTCGACATAAGCAAACAATGGATTGTGTCCCATACAGTCGGTCAAACAATGTATTGTGTCCCATACAGTCGACATAAGCAAACAATGTACCGTGTCCCATACAGTCGACATAAGCAAACAATGGACCGTGTCCCATACAGTCGACATCAAACAATGTACCGTGTCCCATACAGTCGACATAAGCAAACAATGGATTGTGTCCCATACAGTCGACATAAGCAAACAATGTACCGTGTCCCATACAGTCGACATAAGCAAACAATAGATTGTGTCCCATACAGGTGGTCATAACAAATGTACCGTGTCCCATACAGTCGACATAAGCAAACAATGGATTGTGTCCCATAGTCGGTAAGCAAACAATGTACCGTGTCCCATACAGTCGACATAAGCAAACAATGGATTGTGTCCCATAGGTGGTCAAACAATGTACCGTGTCCCATACAGTCGACATAAGCAAACAATGGATTGTGTCCCATAGGTGGTCAAACAATGTACCGTGTCCCATACAGTCGACATAAGCAAACAATGTACCGTGTCCCATACAGTCGACATAAGCAAACAATGTACCGTGTCCCATACAGTCGACATAAGCAAACAATGGATTGTGTCCCATACAGTCGACATAAGCAAACAATGGATTGTGTCCCATACAGTCGACATAAGCAAACAATGTACCGTGTCCCATACAGTCGACATAAGCAAACAATGGATTGTGTCCCATAGGTGGTCAAACAATGTACCGTGTCCCATACAGTCGACATAAGCAAACAATAGATTGTGTCCCATACAGTCGACATAAGCAAACAATGGATTGTGTCCCATAGTCGTGGTAAGCAAACAATGTACCGTGTCCCATACAGTCGACATAAGCAAACAATGTACCGTGTCCCATACAGTCGACATAAGCAAACAATGGATTGTGTCCCATACAGTCCCATAAGCAAACAATGGATTGGTCAACACAATAAGTACCGATTGTGTCC